GGCTAGGAAGGTGGATCTTGTACTATAGATATGGCTTCCAGAAACTATTCTGTAGTGTGTGTTTAGGGATGTGGAGACAGATGAACAGATCCCAACATTTTCCTCTTCGCAAGGGTAGGAGCTTGAGGCCTGCCTGAGTCAGGGGTGTGCCCCAACTAGCACAACCTGGTTATTCCAGAGCACAGACATGCTTTCTTCCAAGCAACCAGACATGCACGAAAACTTGGAGATGGCCTCATACTCTCCCTCTGAGTTCTCTCTGTCCTTCCTGGCTCCTTTTCATCTTTCCAGTTAATCCTTGCTGGGCCAGCTTTTCTGAGCAAAGATGGACCTGCCAAGAAGCTAGCTTACTGAGCACTTACTGGGTGCCAGGCACTGTGCCAGCCTCCTCAAACATAGTTATTTCATCTTCAGCCAACCAGCCCTCCCCTCTCTGTTACACCTCTCGCTGTGTAACAGAGATGCAAAAAGATTGCTCAAAGCAACATGAATGCGATGAGAAGCCCAAAGGGACTGCACCTCAGCAACTCCTCTGTTAGAAGGAGAAACTGGGTACAGCCCCAAATCAGTTTTTGCTTCAGTTTTTATTGTATAGACAAGGAAATTACAGGAAAAGAAAAGATGGTTAATCAATCATAGTAAGACCATAAAGAAATTGGCTATGTAACAATCTTCATCCAAGCATGCATGGTTCAAAATAGTTTAAACAATATACTACCAAAAACGTCATAAATCTAAGCTTTGTGACATGCAAAAGAAACAATAAGATAATCATTAAAGTGCCTGACTTCTTGAGAAACTCAAAGAAACAGTTTAAAGCAAAATGTGGAACAACTCCCATGTACTAACTAATCCAGAACATCTTTGGAAATCTTAACTCACATATTTTCCCATTATTTAAGTTTTGTTGTATTAAGGGTTATTGTCCTCAGAACAATCCCTGTTTTGCATCAGTTTTGTTCACATTAAAGGCTTTAGACCTATGTGAGTTTCCTTCTCACAAAATCTTCCAATTAACCCATTATATTAACAATCAGTGTATACAATCCCTTATCTAAGCAGTGATTAGAATTGATTCGGTGGGCTCTTGCCCACTATCTGTAGGCTCTTGCCTCCTATCCAAGGACTTTTGTCCCATACATGCATTACCTAAAAACCCTATCTAATAATCAAATAGGAATCAAGATGTCTAACCCTCTACACCACTCCATGACGCCCAAGGCCAGGACCATCACCTCTTATCTAGACCACTGCTGTGGCTGCTATATTTTTATTTTTGTGAATGGTTAATTAAATTTAGTCTATCCGAGGCACTAGACTCCAAGCCCCT